CGGAATCCGTCTTTCGCACTCAACCAAAAGATAAGACAATAAAGTAAAATTCAGTTGAGCCATCATTTACAAGGTCACAAAGTCTCGAGTTCTAACTCTGGCGTCGGTGTCACTCACCACCGTTGCCCTTTCAGTCCAATAATATGCTTACCTCATTGCGGTCCGATTTGTTCCATCACTCGGAGTGCTACTGCTTACAATTTACTGATTACTAGGCCGTTGTCCTATCCATCCAAAACGTTAAGTAATGAACTTACCAGCAGGTAATGAAAAACAAATCTCCTTGAAGTTTTTCAGCTGACACGAACTACGTAAACTAAATGAAAGGTTGATTTCGTCATAGAGAGGAATTTTTCACTCGCATAACGGTTTCTACCTAGTGTTTCACCAACGAGAACATATTCATTGTTTGCATGATCCTAAGCTAAATACAGAATAGGTAAAGCTGTTTGATTGAGCTAACCGACATAAACAAAGCAACTTGATTCAGTAGAAGTTGCACTGTATACCGTTTATACACCCCGTTTTTTAACTCTACTTCAGGATCACCCCCCGCTTCATTTATGAAACGAGCATCGCGATGCTTTCAATGACTGAAGCATCTATTATTCATAGCCTGTTATTTAACTCATCTAGATATTCGTTCAAGCGACTATATTTGAACTAGAGAGAATTCGATCTCAACTATTTTAGCGGCCCAAGGTAATCGTTTCTGCGAGGCAATTTTGGAATTGAAACCAATTTAATCGTTATCCTCAGATAAGTGAGTCTAACACGAATTCAGAGAAGGGTTTTGAAGAAGATACTCATTTTCTCGTATAAATACTCGCTAATTGTTTGCATTTTGCTTCTAGCTTTAAATTCATTTTCTTCAACCCCCTAGGTCGTTCACACGACAGAAGACGAAGTGATTATTCACGTGATGACGTAAGCCCAATCGTCTTTCCTCACGTCCGCATTTTGTTTGTTTTCCTCCACAATCCGTTAAGATTCAACTTTTTCAGCTGTCGAAATTGTGAAGTTTTATCTTTTGTGGCATTTCATTTGAAAATTTGCTTTACTATCCCAATCTTAATGAGGACTCTCCATTCCGTTAAGTGAAATGTTGATAAACATTCTGGTTCAATGGACGCTTTAGATACATTCTAGCATGAAATATGCTGTCATTGTCTTTCGATTACACGAAAAACTCATATACAACGCAAAAGAACGCTAAACCGAAAAGCCTAAAATCAGCACCTGTTTCGACCTTGTTGGGTCTCATAGGTAGTGCGAGTTCTTGTTCAATTTATGGAGATCGTTTTATCACTATCACATGTAACAACCTCCTCCCACACACATGGTTTTTATCAGTTGCTTAGTGCTGCAACAGTTTCTCGTTAAAACGAGGGACCGACCGTTCATGGTGTGGCTCTTTCGTGAATCTCTATCTATGTTCCAAGTTATTGAGAATGCAAGATCATAGTTGTTCCGTTCTCCGCACCTCAACCATAGTCGGACATGTGTATTTAAACTCAACCAAACTGAGGATTACTTCAGAACCTGAGAAGTTTTTCCTGCCCCCATAACGTTATATTGTTATTGCGAGGTTAGTCACAAAATAATTTCCCGTTGTCACTGAAATTGTGTGCTACGATATTCTTGAAAATCAGCTAAGATGGTTCTGGTGGCCAGTTTTTCCCGAGTGCGCACAGATTTCCTCGACGTACGGTGCATGCTGTTTT